TAATCACTAATATTTAAAAATCAGATGTTATTTCATTATATATATATATATATATGTTTCCAGCAATGATGAAATAATGATATTGATAATGATGTAATTAAATATATTATATAATTATATAAATAGTTAATATATTTTGCTTCAGATCTCCGCAAAAAATAGATTCTTTTTAAGTAAGTTTTATTTTGCGCCGAAAGAGAAAAAGCAAGCAAATCAAACACGTGACACGTCATGGTCCATATCTGAGCTGTACATCTCCATTTGCTGATTAGGATCCCAATCCTCACACGCCCTTCTTTCCCTTTCATCCAATCTTTAATATTCCATTTTCACATCATCCCATTTAATATGTATCCCTCTAAAACATTACATTTTTATGTTTAAACTCTTAACTCTTTTTTTTTTTAAATTCCACGTCATCGAAAGATTGTTGGCTTAACAGTCAGCATAGCTGTTATTTAGCATGTTAAATGTGTGATTTCGTATAAGATACTTCAAATTCTAGGGTCTCGTTTACATTGTTTAGGTCTTTTATCGACAAACGTAAAAACTATAGTCTATCTAATTTCTGTCATAAGACAGAAGTAATACGGCTCATCATCGCCGATGTAATTTGTGGATATGCATATTTGTTATATCATTTTGCAGTCTGATGAAATGTTTTAGGTGGAACAGGGTTTTTCAAAAAGATTGGAACGTCCTCGATAGACAGGTTGTTGAGAAAGCTCTGTTTTTCAAGAGGTTAGTAACTTGAATCTGGTGAAACGTTAAAAATGAAGTGAGTTATATGTTGTCGTATATAAAATATTAGGGGCTGTTTGGCTCATAAGAATCAGAAGGAATTGGAAGGAATTGGATTATCCAATCCTTTGACCAAATTCCAAATGAAATGTTTGGTTCAATAGAATAAGATGATGGAATCCGGTCAATTTCAGTCAATTCCTTCACGCACCGATTTCACAATTCCACGGTAACATGCTGGGATTTCAAATTCCTTTCCTATAGATTCATCCTCTAATCCAAAATCATTCAACGCCTCTACCATCTCATCTACCGATTTCTGGTTCGATCTCCAGGTATGTTCTCTCTCTCTCGTAAACAAAATCTCTCTCTCGTAAGCAAAATTCGATCGCCAATCTGGTTCGATCTTCAATCGATATCTGATTCGATCATCGCTCTTTGGTTCGATCCCAAATTGAATGGAATTASGGCACCAATCACTTCTTKAAACAAAATTTCGTTGTAATGGATTGTTGTATTTCTAGTTATCACTAATCTGTATGATCATTTGTAACAGCATAGGATAGATGGTGGCTGTACAAAATGATCAACAGAGTTGTATTTTGGACATGGATTCCACAGTTGTCTGAGGAGGAATCGCTGTTTTGACGAATTTCAATCAACAAAACCCTCAATTCCATCTTCCCTTTTTCTTAAATATATTGCAGAATTTCCACGAATTACACAACCCCATTTCTAAATCATTCCAATATATATATATTAGAAGAAACTGTTGAAAAAACCCAAATTCTAATATATATATATATATATATATATATAGGAGACAGAAACTGCTTTCATAGCTGGTTGAGCCAAAGGATTTGGTTTACAAATGCCCCTAAAACAGTTTTCTTCTACTTATCATCTCATTACACACACTTGTATATAATACATCTAAAATGCAAGAAGGGAAGATCATGCCACTGTTACTACTTGAGTTAATAAAARGTACATTAGATAAACAAAATCCTTTGGCTGTATAATATTACTAAGCWGCAGTACTCATATGAAAAAACATATGACAAACATATTGTTACAACACCGGGTAAACCAAGCTGCAGTACTAATAATATTACTAGTACTCATATAAAAAACTGCAGTACTCAATATGTATGAGTACTCATATAAAAAGAGTAGGACAGTGGACATATTAGTTTTTTATTATTCACCGGTGTCATTAGTGAATCAAATAAATCAAGCACACCCTTGATATGTTTTTTTTTGATATGTTTGTGAACCAAGTACTCATATGTATGATATGTTTGTAAATCAAGTACTCATATGTTTGATGTAGCTAATTGATTACAACACCCCTTCAAATGGTTCATTGTAGGCAAAATATGTTTTTATTATTGAAGGCTTCACACAGCCATACCATCAAGCATGTGTGCATTTATTGGAATATGTCCACTGTCCTACTCTTTTTGCAATTTTAACAATATTATGCATGCAAATATTTTTAAGTATAGTTATGTGGTTGATGATTATTTCGGCTATCACTTGTTATACATAGCACATTTAGGATGCAGAATTTCCATCCAACGTGACTTGCATACCTACATCTCCCATCTGATACCATAAAAGAACTTTTTACATCTTAAAGTTTGTTATTTGATCATCTGGTTGCCTCATTAGAGCTGATGCCAATACAAAAGTTCCACTCTACAATAAAAACATAATCAGCACCCATTGAACATAACTGACCTAAATAATAATGATAACTATCAGTATTTCTAAAGTAGAAAGAAGACTAAATCACTCTAGTATTATCCTTCAATAACATAGCACATTGCATGTAATTTCTCCCTATAAATTGTGTGGTCTACTTTTAACTTTTCGTTTCTAAT